GTTGTTGTTGTTACCCCTGTTTTCCAAGTTAAAGAGTATGCAAGCGGGAATAATACAATTATATGGATTGCAATGCGAGGAATCCTAGAAAAATTTTCATGTCAGCGCAACGCTTTGGAATCTCCGATAGTTTCAACTTTCCTAAACAAAATATACCGCAGTTTAACATTATTTCGGATTGTTGTAAAGTCGCGAAAAGATAGAATTACGCCATCATACTCAAAATCTGTCATGGTAAAGATACATTAAAGTTGACACGCTTAACGTTTCTTTACACACAACGGAAAGAGTGGCTCAGTTTTTCTAGACAGAACGCAGAGTTGTTGAAAGCGAGTGCAAGGGCCACATTAAAGTCTGCTTCCGTCGACATAAGTCGTAGTTCACTATCGTGTCGCGTTTCACTGTAGGTTACTAATTTATTAACATAAGTAGCAGTCAAATTTTAAAGGGAGGGTTTCACAGTTCGACAAGTGTCCCTAAATTAAAATAGTTTTATTCGGTTCTTATAAATGTCATCGCCTTAAAAACCCCACTCACATGAAGGTTATGATCAGTGATCACATGCTACAGTCAATCGTGGCAGAATGACGGATGACCAAAGTTCTCAGAAGATTAGTCGACCGCCAAATTAAATTTGAATTCAAATTTGAATAAAAATTTCAATTAACATTTCAATTGAAATTTGAATTTTTAGTATTGGTAATCACACTGTTTTTCTCGTTCAATTTGGAATTAATTTGCACGGGTGAGCTTTTCAAAAAGCTGAAATTGCACGAGCCGCTTCTACACATTACTACAAACTCCCCTATGTTGGCATTTTTCCTAAAGTTACGCAGATTAAATTAAGAGAGCTGCTTAAAAGTTATTGCAAAAATGATCTAGAGTATTAAGTTAGTTTTTTCTACATTTAAGGTTAGAAACATGTTCAGCGTGAAAGATTCCGTGCCGTAGAGTTTCCGTTCGCGTGTCTTTAATAAATTCACATGTGCTGACTGTAATGCCTGCTACATTGGTGAGACCACTGGCCACATTTGTACACCTGTCCGTGAGCACCTTGTGTCGGACAAGGCTTCGCATGTTTAGAAGCCCTTGCAGTCATCAGGGACTTCTCGTGACTCATGCTCTGCAGAATCTTTTAAGGCTCTAGATTTTGCCGCCTCGAGTTTTCAAGTTAAGATGAAAGAGGCGCTGTATATTAAGTGGGAAATTCCAACTCTAAACCAACAGCTGAGGCACTTAGATTTGTCTCTTTCTGTTTCATTTTTTTTAAAATTATTATTTGTTGTTCATTTTATTTAATTGTTTGATTCTGTTTCAGCTACTGTTGGCGCGCTCGCAGCCTTTGTTCCCAGTGTATTCCAATATTCAAATTGTTAACGTAAATTTTATGGCGTAATTCCATAACGTAATCATATGTACAGTCAAAATTGAAATGTGCAACCGTCGAAAATTCGCAAATGAAGATTACATAGGAATGTCGAATTAACAAATTGACGTCAGTTTTTTTATGCGTCTGTCCTGTTATTGATGATAAATTACGTCATAAAATTGTCAAAGTGGCAGGGGAACCACGAGCCACAGGCGAGTGGTTCCGCAGTAAACTTCGACAATGTTATGACGAAATTTATCATCAATAAGAGGACAGACGCACAAAAAACTGACGTCAGTTTGTCTTTTATAATAACAAGACCCCAAAATGGTCAAATGCCGGGAATAAATGA